ATTTCCTAGCAGTTTTCCAGTTTTGAGATAGCAACTTTGAGGCCTTTGAAAACAACCTTAATGACTTCTTCTGGATCCAAAAAGCATACCATTGGAAAGATGAAAACTTTATCTTTAAAACAAGCCCTTGATCTCCAATTTTCATTGAGCCATTTGTGAGATACAATACTTAACCAACTTCTGTCTTTCTTTTCCCCAACTTCAATAGCTTCCTCGACAAGTAATTTAAATGTGTAGAGTTAGCTATTTGGGATCATATCAACCTTATAGCTAGTTTCAAACCTACCAAATATTTTAAGGCAGCATGCAGTTGGAGGAGCCAACCAAATGTGGGGAGGGGAGTCTAGCTGTATAGCTATGGTGAGCCTTTGTCTTATTATTGATGATGATGGCATGCGACCAATAATATTCTTCTTCTATCCATTCCTCTAATTTGATGGAGTGAGAGTGACTGTTTTGTCATGCATCCACCTAACATGGATCACATATAATTATTCATTAGCATCCATCCCTAATATGGAAATGAACACCTTCATTGTGTTTGGTAATGCTAATGCATATGTGGTTTGAGTTGAGATCAAGGTACAGCTGGTACTTACTATAACTATATAGTGGGATACGGCTGGGATTGGTTAGGGGGGAAATGATTGGGAAAGATAACATGATTGGGGGTAAATGTTTCCCGTTTTGATGTTGTTCTCTAGCTAGTAGGTTGATCACTGTTTTTGCCTGTAAATGAGTACCATTTGATCACTGTTTTTGCCTGTGGCTGTCTGGAGATCACCACTTGATTTGGTACAAAATGTGGTATGCACTAAATCATGACTTGGAAATTTGGTAGGTTAGTAAGCAGTGTGTTGCTGCATGATTGTTTGTGGGTTTGCAAGACAACAAGATTATGATGAAAACTATCAGTAGATTTGATAATATTTTAGTTGGATTTTGTTCGAAACAAGTATAGATGATAGGGAATCGATTAAGCATCCGACTGGAAAGCTAAAAAGAAGGATTTTTTTTCTGTTGTAAGACTCCCAACAATTGAAATGTGAAAATTAGTAAAGAAAAAGGTTGATAGATTATTAAACAGTTAAACTTTTTTAAAATGATTAGGGAAGTGAGGCGATTAAAAGTCTTCGCCCCCTGGATCTGATTGTCCATACTATCGTGAGACTTTCTAATATTTATGACTTGTCCGCTAACACTCTCTAGAAAAATTATTACCTCTCGTCGTGTGTCCACAAATTGTCACATGTGTACACTGTCCTAGACCATCTATTGTGAAATGTTTTTTTCTGCCACCCCAAAATCCACTACACGAAAACCTAAACACAGCCTTTTGAATCTTTTGTCGTCAAACTATTTAGACATTTGATGTCACCATATCAAATGTAGAGAGTTTAGACGTCCATAAGTTTTGTTATTCTTGAAGGTCTTCCATCTACATAAATGACGTTCTTAGCATATGCATTATTAATAATTAACCAAGACCACTTGAACATTTCCAGAAATGGAAATCTTAAACTTGATTGGTTGAGAGAACAAAAGAAGGTATAGAAGAGCAAAAGGAATCAGAGGAGAGACGGGGATGATTTTAGGAACAAGTAATTTTAATTAATGGTGGGTCCACAGCACAGCACATGTCTTAATAAATTAAGTTCTTATCTGCTCTATCCTGTCTCGATTCATTTCACCAATATGACATAAATTCGGATTAATTAGTCTGAAAAAAGTTATTAACCTTTTCCTGCTAGAAGAACATCAATTAACTCATATTCTCTAGTCCCTTTTGTAATTTCTTACGAGTTATAAGTGGTTCCTCGAAAACTTTATGAACAACTTCTTTCAAATAAGCCCTATTATAGTTTATATTTCAGAGGTTTTATTGGACATGAATTTATTTGAAATTTTTGAAATACGATATATCCTTCATAAATATCTGAGTTAGACGATAAATTTATATATCTTAATAACGTAAAATTTATCAAAAAACTTGTAAAACTTGATCCAAATCATTAAGGCTCCATTGATAATGCTCGATTGAGTTTAGGCAATTTGTCCAAAAATGTTAACTTAATTACTTTACACAACCAATTTTGTTTTCTAGCTCCTGTATAGTAATATGTCTAAATATGCATACCCAGGAAGGCAAAATTTAGAGATAGCTCCAAATAAAAGGATAATATTAATTGTCCTATCTCATTTTATTTTATTATGATGGTATTGGTAAATAGTTATTAACATGTCATAACTTCTGATGATAGGAAGTGGTGAATGACCGAAGAGTGAGCATCGTTCTATGACTTCATATTCAATTAGAAAGCTTATAACTAGAGAATACAATGATCAATCACCACGGCAGATCTTTATGATCCTGTCTCGATTCACTTTAACCACTTTGACACAAATCCGGCTTAATTAGTCTGAAAAAAGTGATTAGCCTTTTCCTGCTAGAAGAACATCAATTATCGCATCCTCTAGTCCCTTTTTCATTTCTTACGAGTTATAAGTGGTTCCTCGAAAACTTTATGAACAACTTTTTTCAAATAAGCCCTACTTGGTATAGTTTAATCTGTGGTATTACAGTTGTTTTATTGGGCATGAAATTATTCGTAAATTTTGAAATACGATACATCCGTCATAAATATCTGAGTTATACGATAAATTAACATATCTCAATAACGTAAAAGAACTTGTAAAACTTGATCAAAATCATTAAGGTTCCATTGATAATGCTCGATTGAGTTTAGGTAATTTGTCCAAAAATGTTAGACTAACTTTACACAACCAATTTTGTTTTGTTGATGCTGTATACTAATATGTCTAAATTTGCATACCCAAGAACGAAAATTTAGAGATAGCTCCAAATAAAAGGATAATATTAATTGTCCTATCTCTTTTCATTTTATTATGAAGGTATTTGTAAATAGTTACTAACCTATCATAACTTCTGATGATATGAAGTTGTGAATGACAAAAGAGTGAGCATGGTTCTATAACTAAATATTCAATTAGGAACCTGATAACTAATGTAGTCAAAATCGCAATTTAAAATTTAAAAAATTTATGGTTTTACGCTTTTAAATCACCAAAATGTTTCTATGCAAAATTACAATTTTTATCACTATTGTAGTTAAAAACGCGTTTTAAAATTTAAAAACTCACTATTTTACGTTTCCAGATCACCAAAGCGCTTCTACATATAAACACGCTTTTAACTATATTGCTTATAACTAGAGAATAGAATGATCAATCACAGAGTCACATCCTCATGATCTTTATGATCTTCTCTTTGTTTTAATTAAAGAGAGCAAATTACGTTTTGATCTGTACAGCCAAGCCAGCCAGCACATCCTTATCACTAACCACAACCATTAAAGTCCTATTAATGAAAAACTATTGGGACTTGGGAGCAACTCGATCCTTATCAGAAAACCCATGTGTTTGTTGCTACTTAGAGCCCTACTTTAAGGCTTAGTGTAAATTTGATCCTTTGTTAGTTATGGAAAAAGGACAACATAAGTAAACTAACCTCATTCAGACAAATGATTCAAGTTTAGAGTCATATCTTTTCATTGATGGCCTTGTATTTCAGGTATAAAATGTTAACCCTCACGTGAATACACAAGTCATTACTAATCTCACAATTAATAGTTTCACAAAAATTTTGTCTTAAATTTCATGGTTTCGGTGTGCTACCATCCGATCAAGTTACTTTTCACTACTTCCGACAAAGAAGTTTACATTGATCGGTGATGAAAAGAGAGGTCTTTGAGAGCATTCGTTACATTTTGAAGTTAGTTCAATTAATTTTTAGAAGGTTTACTTACTAGTTAAGATTAAAAAAAGTCGAGACATAAATTTTAGAAATATATATTTATTAAATTTCAAGCAAATTTTACAGTCGCGGTACACATAATCAACGTGGCTTATTTATAATACTCTTACTACTCCATGCCTTCATAATTCTTTTTTTACAGCAACTTTTAAAAAAAACGAATAGGCTACTTTTATACACATCTTATAGTTATCTCTAACCCTAAAAGATATTAATCGAGGAGGATGATTAGTGATATTTTTACTTTGTTTTTTGGGAGAGGGGAAAGTAAAGGAAACAACAACAACAACAAATTAGGTAGAAGTTGCAGAATGATAAGATGCAGTGTATGATTATTAGGTATGATCTCTTCTCTTCCAAGAGTAAGCAATCCATATATTCTCTTTTCTTCCCATTGTTTGGATTTAATATTTTTATTCCTTTGTATATCAGAAAAGGATTCTGGTTCTGGGGATGAGCAACTGGTCACGGGGGAAAGCAAAGGCAAGGAGCTAAGCTAGCGTCCACACCAGACATTCATCATCATCAGCATAAGCAGAGGAATATTTATGCCCTTCTTCCACCATCCCTCAAAATAAATAAATAAATAAATAATATTTGTAATAAAAGAGAATGAGCTTTTTTTTTTTTTTTGTCATTCCATCGACCCATTTGAAAGCAACACAACATGGAATCCAATCCAAAAAAATCAAAGCATTCTGAGTTCTGACAACAAGCAATGCACCCAACACCATCATCCTCATCATCATTCATTCAACTCCCATCCATTACCTTTTGCTTCCCTCCAAAGCCTGTCCCTTTGGGGAATTTGGCCACCACCTCTAGACGGTCCGCCCGCGTATTTATAATTGTTTGATCCATTCAATGTCAATTCGTTGTAGATAATATGGCAGCATGTGTTATTATGCGGATGGAGAACTATTAGATGGTATTAGTTCGTGCATAGAGTCCCTAGTAACCGAATTTAATCTTTCAAATTCGACTTTCTAAACTTCAGACTTTAGCTAAGGGGGAGTGGTATGTTTTTCTTTTTCAAAATGTGCTAGCTACATTATTATCAACTCTCTAGATCAACAAATGAGAATCTAATAATCGTTGGGTGAAAACACAGAAAACACGCATGGCGGAAACAATTCGAAAAGGCCAAAACCCACATTGTGTTTTTGTTCAGTCATCACATCTCAAAACCAAGATAACGGCTAGAATTACATTTTAGAACGTCGTGAAGAAAAAATGTTCCTTTTACTAATTCCCTCGGCAGGAAGGGAAGGCAAAAGATTCCATACAACAACAGACAAAAGCAGAGCAAGGAAACAGAGCAAGGCAAAAGCTTTCCCTCTCAATGAAGATAGAGAGAAGAAGGAAGGAACAAACCTCCAAAATGATGAAAGAAAGTAGGAAAGAAAGCAAGGGGTGTTGTGAAACTTGTTTGTCAATACCTGACGGATGTGAAGAGGATGAGAAAAATTCCAAAGGGGACCATCCAAATTGGGGGGCCAAAGAGGTTGAAAAATCATAATTGTGAGAATATTCTCCAATTTGCTGTTTCAATAATAGCCCTTGGCAAGATGGCAACAGAAAGTACATAATATGACCTTTTTCTTGGAATCTAACAGCATGACTTTCAGTTTCAGGTTCAGCCGTTCCCCTTTTCAGCTTTCACATCTTCACTCACACCCCCTTTACCCTTCTGAAGCTTTCCCATCATTCTCCACCAGGTAAAGATTCTGAGATACAGAGCCTCAAGTTTCCACAAAACAGGAGGAGAAATCACTTGGAAAAAAACTCCAATTTCAACCCAGCAGCAGTCTTGACTCATCTTCTGGGAAATTGGCAGTCAAATGTTTCAGCAGCACCTACTCCAGTAATGACACATTACAAGGATCAAGAACACAGCTGCATGCATGGGATGATAATAAGAATATATAAGCCAACCCCTTCATCTCTTTTCTCTTGTTCTTTTTTTTCTTTTTTTTTCTGGGTTTCTTTTGTCCATGGAAGACATGGATCTTTAGAATATTGCTATACCAATTTAACGATACAATACAAATGCTCAACGTCAAGATAGAAATATTAAAAAAAAAAACACTAATCCTGCAAAAATTTCCACGGCTTCCTTCCTCTGCAATTCGTCGTCGTCGTCCTCCTCATGATCATCATCATCTTCTCGCGCGCGATTCGTAATTTCCAGTCTTTTTCTTCTTATTTATAACCCATATATTAATCTTCTTCCCATGTATACTTTTACCGATGCAAAAAAAAAATCCCGTGGCGTGGAGACAGACACACTATACACCAACTTTCCCTGATCTTGGAGTATGACTCTTCCAGCTATAGTTCTCTGATTTCGCATCGTCGTCGTCTTCCATGCTATCTCCTCCGGTCAGGGTTCCACCAAACTGGAGGGGGCCTTGCGGAGAACCAGACTGGGAACTAGCAGCCTTTGAGGAGTCTCCATACTGCTCTTGTGAAGACATCCATAAACCCCCCAAAACAACTACAGATTGGTTTGCAGGAGTGTTGCCACCCGGTGCCATTCTCCGTGTATGCAGTCGATATTTCTACAGTCGAGACACAAACAGAAAAACAAGCACCTTCAGAAGAAGATAAACAAGGAAATGACATTGAAATAGCTCGAGGACTGATTAGACTCCGCCTTCAAATCACTGATTAGAAAGGGCAATGTGTTGAACAATCACCTGCAAATGGCTCTTCACTTCATCATTGGTCAGACCATCAACTTGCATAATCTCTCTTATCTGCTTTGGTGTAGCAGCTGCAGTAAGACCACAGGTTCATTCAAATGAGACATTTAACCAAATGTGCTACCAAAATCACAATTAGCTTACTCCTACTTCATCTACTCATCCGGACTAAGCATAATTCACTTGATCAAATGTTTAACCACTTCATCACAAGTTTCCATCTAGCAACCGAGGGAGCTCCAAAATTCACCTACCTAGCTCAAATTCTATCTACAGCTCACTGTGAACCCAACAACCAGAACACACCAAGATCAGAACCTGAATGTCCATCATATGAACTTAGTTTCAGAATTACCAACCTTGAGAGCCTCCAAGTTGCTGCAAAGCATTCACAAAGCGGCGGTGAAGCTCTGGTGACCAACACCTCCTCTGCTTCCTAGAAGCCTGGAAAGGTGAGTGTGGTCCTCCTTTATGTGAATTATTAGACTGGGAATTAGGTGCAGAAGAGGTAGCCCTTGAACCGGTTGACCCAGAATCCTCTGAAGAGTTCTTGATTCCCGGAGTTAGAAGAGATAGACCAGGAACCCCCAAATCATCTCCTCTGCCATTGTCTTCCTTCCTTGTTAATAAACTAGGAAAATTCTTGACTGGCAAAGTAACCAGACCCCGGTTTTTACAAACTGAGAAAAATGCATCCTCATTTCCACATCGATTCACCTTCTTGTTTACCTACCATAGAAGACAACCAAAAAAAAATTAGTTCCCATGCTTTTGATTCACTGTATTTAGATTCAAGTTTTTGTCTTTTCTTGTCATTATCTCCAGCTCCTGGTTTATGATTCTTATACCTTAGAAGATTCAAGACTGAGATTTCGTTTAGCATCAAAACTAGCGGGTGTGGCTTGATCATCAGAGCTCCATAATTGGACAGAACTCATCCAACTTTTCTTGTCTTTAGAGGAGGAATCCTTGTCATTTTTAATCCTAGTGTTCTCTCTGCGTTCATCTTCATCTTCTTCGCAACTCTTCTTTAATGGGATAAATTCCTCCAACACCGGTGGTTGCTTACTAGTAGCACAGCGCTGGACCGATTCCTTCACAACTACAATGGCTGCCACCAAACAAACAAACAATTAACATCACAACCCACAATTGAAATCGGCTCCAGCTGAAAAACCCAATTCAAATTTACCAGAAAACAACAAACAAAACAACCCCACCAATAAAAAAACCCATTTTGAAATCCAAACACCACCGCATTCATTCACATATGATCCGTTCATCCATCACACTAACCATCATTCAGGAGGAGCATGCAGAGAGGGAGCTCGCGCTTGAAGGCGTCGATCTTCTTCATCTCCTCCTGCAGCTCCCTCAACAAGCTTTCAACTCTGGGAGCTTTCTCCGGCGCATCGGCGATCGTGGCCGGCGAAGCGTTCTGCAGGAAATCTCCGATCGTCTTGGGGACGAACTTGGCCGACATCGTCCTGAAATCCAAGCTCAGTTCCGCCGGAACCGACCCCATTTTCGGCCTCTTCCCCCTTCTTTTTTCTATAAATGAAACCGAATCTTTGTTTGTTTCGCTTTCCCTTTCCTCCTCCCTCCTCTCTTATTGCGCTGAGAATCGGAGGCGTGAAGCTAAACAACACAGGAATGGCGAGATCTGCATCAATGTGTATATATAGGGAGAGAGGAGCTGTGTGTGAATAGTGAGAGAGAATCGAATCGGTGGGCAACGAACGAAGGAAGGAGAGGACAGGGAAAATGAGAGAAGGAAGAGGAAATATTATATAATGAAAAAGGAAAATGCACGAAAAGGAAGCGTTTGTCTTTCTTCTTTTGCTGAATTTCGGATGGCGGTTTCGTAAATTTGTGGAAAGTATGGGGGTGCGAATGTACATGCAGAAGGAGCGACGCGAAGATTCTGTTGAGGAGATTTTCGGGTAGTAAACAAAATCTTTTTTCGCAATCGCATCGATTCCTCGCATATTTTATCTGTCTGCCTATTTCACCGCCCGCCGAGTTCACTCGTTCCCCCAACTCGGTCTCTATTCCCACTTTTTCACCGACGTAAAAAAAAAAAAACCCAAAAAAAGGATTAATTACGCGGAGAAACTGAGAAAGTCTCCCCTGACAACAGTTGTAAAAAAATATATTAAACTTGATAGACAAGTAAAAGAAATTAGCTTAACCAGCTTTGATATTTTTACGCTTTCCTGTAGGAGTATCTTTTTTATTTTTACTTTTAGTTAGATGGTAATTAAGACGACTCATTTTCAATAATAGTGAAGCTACAAGAAAAAATAAAAAATATTCACCGACGCATAGAAAATCCAAATTTACCCCGAATTAGAAAAATGTTTATTCTGGTAGTGCATTGATCTATTTGAATTCATTCCTACCTACAAAATATTTGAAATGATAATCATAATTTAATTTGCGTTTGAAAAAAAGGAGTAAAGATGATGTTAATTGTTGTTAACGCACGACTGATATTTACTTCATAATTCTAGAGGAAGAATTAGTAAAAAAAAATTATTTGGACAAGATTATCGGTAAATTTGGAGGTACCGCATATTTTGAATAAGAAAATGCTATGTAAATCTTGAATTGACCGGATTTTGAGGCATGATACTATACTTCAACCCTTAAGATTAAAAACTAAGTCTTAATTCTCTTTAAGTCTTGTACACAAAGATCAATTTAATTAGAAACAACATTCGACGGTCAAGACTCACCGAATTACATGCACCATCTTAACGTTTATGATTTTAATAATTAGAAATAAATGTTAATATATAGTATCATGTCCTAAAATTCGATTAATTCGATGTCTAGATGTCGCTTTCATACTAAGAATATGAAGTACCTTAGATTTACACCACGATCGAAGCCACCTCATGTTAACATGACATTGGACATATACTAAGGATATGAGGTACCTTAGATTTTGCACCTCTCCCCTAAGAACATCATGATCCAAAGAATAAAGCAAAAAATCATGCTTGAATCGAGTAAGAAGAGCTGGCCAATCACTTTGGCATCCTCCAAACACCCGCGTACATCATTCTTTCCATATTATACTGACTATCCAACACCAAACTGCAACAAAAATGCGCCCAAAAGCTCCTCCCTTCTTCACTTCAACACACACTCTACACAAGTAGCCATGATGTTGCCTTCTTCAGTTCTTGCTTAAGTAAAGTAAGCCTTCTTCTAACCCTCTCAAATTAGTGGACCATACATCTGTTGCCTCCCAGACCCAGTGTTCCTGAGTATAGTATCATAGAATCCGGATGTAGACTCCACATATCGTAGAATCGGAATGGTTTGGGGAAAGATTTCCTGGGGATAGAAGGGTGAATCAAAATTCCACGGTGTTACTATTTAAATAAAATATGACATTTCAAATAAAATAACAAATACTAATATTTAAATACAACATATAGCTTCAATATCTAGACGTGTATACTTGAATCCAACAAATAACATCAATATTTTAACTTTTAAATCTATAAAATGAATTTGATTTATTAATTAAATTTACCAAAACTACGTCATTTTGCTTAGAGGTCATAAATCAATCATACCGATCTTATTGTGGTGTTCACATCGGTTCATAACCAGTACCAATTGAACCGAATCCAACCTGCCGACATTCCGCCGAGTGAAAACTATGGTTGAGATTAATGGGATATGCTTCAGATACACGTATTAACCTACTACTACTAGAAATGATACTATGGTATATAGGTAATGTAAAGTAGGATTTCCTACTATATTTTGCATATTTTTTTAATTTTCAATGTTGTGGAGTATTTTTTTTTTTTTACAATAATTCACGAAATAAATGACATTTGAGCGGGCTTTCAAAGACTACTAGGTGGGGATGTTGCGCCTTGTCGCATGGCGGAGATGGCTTATGTGCATGTATTATATTGGTGTTTTGTTAGTATAGTTAGTCTAAAATTATTTTTTTGTTATCATTTTTATTAGTAATATTGATTTCACAATATGATATTGACTGAGAATAGATATATGAGGGTCAACATCCAATTTAAATTTTTTTGAAAATTTTGACTAATAAATGATATTTACCTAAACCCAAATAGACCCATTGATTATGGGTAAGTATGGGTGACGTATATAATGGGTTTAGGAGTTTGAAATGGATTTGGGTAGGGTATGAATAATTCATAATCTAAATGTGTATAGAGTTAGGTATGAATACACATTTATTCGATGGTGTTTTAATTACACAAACAAAAAATAGACTTATTTGTAGAACTTCAAAAGTTTAGGTACCAAAATGTAATACATAAAAATTTAAGGTACTAAAATGTCATGTTCCAACAATATTTTGAGGACTTATATGCCAAAAAACAAATTTAGGTTATAAATGTAAACATAAGTTTAGGTACTGAACTATAATTTGCATAGTTGAGGCTTAATTCCTTTTATGGTAATGTATTTAAGATGATAATTTATTTTTTTTATAAAAAAGGAAACTATTTATTTGATATGTGTAGATACCTAGCCAAACATTCCATGTATAATTGTTGAAAATTCTAGCTCAGGTGAAAAAGAAAAACTCTAGAGAGAAGTAAAAGGAATACAAACTTGATCTCGCTTAAAATTTCACGCCTTCAAATCCCATAGTAGAAAATGACGACTTTCTAATAAGTAATAACCATATATATTTATTTTTAATTGGACTCGACATTGAGCTGAAAAAATTAGTGGTTCATGATTAAATTATTAATTCTCTAGACTATTGGTGAGTCATGTATGGACTCATTCATACTTGTGATTAGAACAAATAAAAATGGGTAAATTGCAAGTTCAGTCACTAGAATTACTACAAAATTTCACGTTTGCCACTAAAATTACTTTATTCCATTCATGGTCACTAAGATTAGTTCAACCGTTCAAGTTTGGTCACTCTCCGTTAGTCTCTGTTAAAATTTTCTGATGTGGCAGTCAACTGTGATAGTTGACCGTTAAATGAGTGACATGGCAAATTAAAAATAAAAAAAATAAAAAAAATCTTTAACAAATTTCCACCTCATTATAACAATAAATAAATAAAACCAATAAATTAAAAAAAAAACACTGTCGCGTCTCTCCTTTCCTCCCAGCAAATCACAACCCCTTCCATCGCCATCTCCACCAGCCAGCGATGGCTCTGCCATGTCCTCCGAGGCAAGGCCCCTCCTCTCCGATCACTCTTCGTCTCTCGCTTTTAACAAGCTGTTCAATCTCGGTGGCTCTTTCACCCTTCTGATTTCTCTGTTCCCTCTCCTGCTGACACGCTAAAACACAACACCAAACTGCGACCAAGTGTAATCGCAGTCCGGACTACAGTAACAGGCAAGCTCTATTTGTCAACTCGGGGTCTAGATCTACTGCCTATAGGGATGTCAATCCAACCCGTAACCATGGGTACCCTACCCGACCGTAACCGGTCAACGAGGGTAAATACCCGCTTTGACGGGTTAAGAGACGGGTACGGGTAATACCCGATTTCAAAATAAAGGGTAGGGTACGAGTATGGTAATCGATAATACCCGCCCCGCTAACCAAAGGGTCAATTTCCCTTGAGAAATTTATTTTAGCTTGAGAAATTGAGTTTAGCTACCATTATTGATGATGAAGATGTAGACAATTATTATGTTTGTGTGAATTGTAGAAGCAAGAACAATTATTATGTGTTTGCTGTTTTTATTTGTGTGAATTGTTGAAGCTAGAACAGTTACAAGTATTGAGAATTTTTAATGGACAACAGTATGTATGTGCATATATGTGTATAAGTTCATAGTTTAGGATTCGTACCCATGGTTACCCGAATACCCGTGGTTACCCGGTGGGTAAGTTATGGTTATATAATTTTCATACCCGGTGGTTATTTGGTCGGGTATTTTAGAAAGCTCTACCCGGCGGGTTAGGAGTTGGTATAGGGTGAACCCGCACCCGACCCTACCCATTGCCATCCCTAACTGCCTACTCCGTGAATGTCTATGATCTAGCAAACTAAGTCGAGTGATTGTGATTTTAACTAAAAGCAGTAAGAAAGCAGGAAATGGTTCGGTTTTCTAAAGCAAGGGAAGAGTCACTCGGGAATGAGTCACCCTAGCTCCTTAGTTAGGTCACAGTTGTAATTGCCTTGGGTTGATTAACTGTTGATTAAACTGCGGAAGATCCGACAGTAGCTTGGAATCTCTTAAGTTGACCAAGCCCTCTCAGTCCAACTACCCGGCAGACGACTAGTTCTCACCGGGATAGAAAGCTGAGGCTCCTCAGTTACGTCGCAGAACTCCAATACTGAAATTGGATTCCAGTACAAAGCAGTAAATCAATTAACTCTCGTATAATCAATCTACCACTACCGATTGATGAAGCTCTAACAACCTAATCAGATTGGCAGATTCTATCTATCTCAAGTAGCAGCAGAAATCAAGAAAAGATGATCAGACTTCAATTGACTCAATAAATCATGCATCAATCGATTAAAATCAATCAGTATAACAATCCCAAGTCATTACAATCAAGATCCCTAACACATGGAACTAGGGTTCTTCATACCCAAGTGAGAGAAGGTTCTACTCCATAGAGAGAGAGAGGAAAACAGAAATCAGAATAGTCATACTCATAAAGATGAGGATAATCTGCTCCGGAATGATGATCTTCACTCCTGGGGATGCAATCTGGGTTTCAATGGTGAGAAATCCACTCCAAAGAGCTCCTAAGGTTTGTTCTTCGCACTTTCTCTCTCTAAAACTCTGTTT